AAAACAGCAATAAAATTCCCAAAGAATAAAGTTAAATTTGTAGACTTAGGTAAGGTGACAGAATGTTTGGGGAATTTCAATCAGCTATTGAATTAATGTCTCCTCTTTTTCATTTTCAAACCATTTTGAGCTGTGTAAACAGTCAATACTGTTATGTCCTTGAACTGAGTCCTTTTGTTTTCAAAAAGAGACATTTAGAGGAAAATGACACAAAAATTTCTTCCTCAAACCACCTTGTTGAAGTTTCTCCAGGGACCAAAGTAGATGATTTGTAAATTCTTTTACTCTTAAAATAAAAGGCATTTTTATAAAAGGAAAGGTGATGGGCACATCAACACCTACTCAGGAGGGAAAATAGTCTCAGGTAAAATGTCATTCATTTTCTTCTTCACGGTGCAAAACTACATTCAAAAGCATCCTAAGAGGAAGATGGCATCCATGAGGAAAAGGAAAAGCCCTTTTATAGCATTTTTAAGTGTTACAGGAATCAAGAATTTCATAAGGATAATGGCACCAACCTATAGTTGTATAGCTGTATAAACTTTTCTTATTCAGGATGCTTTCCCACCCAGCTCTCACTTGCTCCTCATCACAGTCTCACAGAAGGAGGCTGGGCACGGAGTCTCAACTCTCTTTCACTGTGGACAAACCAAGGCCTCAAGTGCTAACAGTACGGGACCAGTGTTTCTCAGTGAGTGGAGTGGAGATCAGATCTCTTCAAGCTCACCTGGGCACACCCTCTGCTCCTCGGCTGTCTCATGAGATTGTTGCCCTAGTGGACCAAAAATGTCCTTGAGTTTACCACCACTCTATTTTCCTTGAGGTTGGGGACTGTGTCTTAACCATCTTTTTATTCTTCCACAGCGCCCTGAACATAATAGATGTTCAATAAGTGGAAATTAAATAAGTGCTTTAAATCCTGAAATCTAACTGCTCTAAATTAGATTTTCAAAGCTTTCTGTGCCCTCATACATTTTTATAAAAAACAGAAAAATCTTTGCATTCTTAATGTGGCAATTAAAAAAGAGACTACTCGTTCATTTTGTTCCTTGGGATATTCAGAAACAGATACGGAGGGCTTCAAGGAGGCGGAGGGCTGGTGGCAGGATAGACAGCAGTCATGAATAGATCTAGAATACAATTCAGTCTCTTGTTTGTATGGGTCTGTGCCTCTGGCTCATGGGCTTTAAAATGACCTTTCCTAGCAAGATCTGGAAATGAATAGTCTTTTCTTTTTTCCCACCAGTTCCTGTGTTTCCTAAAGTCAGTTACCATGTGTCCTTTGACAAATGAGTTGCAGGAGTGTTGACCTTACCTTGAAGAACACTTTCTCCTGTATTTTTCACTCTCACCCATGTGACACTTTTTTGCCTTTGCAGAGTTGGATGTAAGTAAGACCCATCTCCTGAGTAACTGTGAAGGGGGTAGTTTCTGCAGGATGTATTTTCCGTTTCTTTGAGTGGTTGTGGGTAAGGGGAGAGGGGATTTGGTGAGGAAGGACTGGTCCCTGTGGACGAAATAAGCTGTCTGGGAGGTAAGATACCAGGAGCCTAGCAACAGTGGTGGGCGTTGCAAAGCTGTCACTGTTTGAGATCATAACTAGCATCACCCTTTTTATAGCTGCCCTTAAGCCACGCATCAGGAAAGTTTCTACAAGTTCCATATTTGTTTATTTTTAAATAGAATTTATCATGCCTATTATAGAAGATTTAGAGAAAGCAGAATGAAGAAAACATTTGTCCCAACCTCACCACCCAAAACTACCATCTGCAAACACTCTTTGTTCTCATTCTTTCCCTTGGCATAGCTATTGAAGGGTTTCATTCAAGGTTGTATCATACTGTGCGAATCATTTAGTTACTTGCTACGAGAGCCCTGCATCTGGGGACAGAGTCCCACACCATGTGAAGCCCTTGCCTCCCTGCTCTGAGTGCGTACATGTGGTTGCTCCTCTTGGAATAGATTTCTAGGAAGCTTGAAGATCTGGGCATGCTTTAAAGGGAGATAAAGTTAAGCTAGGGTGCAGAAGGAAGATATATTTTTTTACCCTCCTACCCTCCACTTAGTTTATCAATTAATTTGCATATTTTATTTTGGTAAACCGCCATGCAGTGGACAGCCATGGAAAGCCCGGGGAGCAGTTGGTAGCAGGGTTGACTCCCACCAGAGGAGCTGCAGGCCTGCAGAGCTGAATTGGAGTTGATTCTTTCTGGAATCTCCGCTTGCCCTAGTCAGGACTGCAGGTGAGATGACAGGTGCCCAGGCAGCCCTGGATGTCAGGGTTCGATTTGAGATTTAAAATATCTGATCTTGGGAACCCGTCCCCATAAAGAAGCCCAGTGTCACTCCTTTTGTTACTTTGGTTTGGGCAGACACATGCCACCAAGAGAACCCGATTCCCTCAACTCCTTCACGCCATAGTCAACCAAGGACTTATTCTCTTTGTGCCTGTTCTTGTAGAGCTTATTGTCTGGTTGGGAAACCATATCTGAAATAATCACAAATAAAAAATATAATTCTCTAAGCTGTTATTACAGTGTAGTTGTTAGAGAGGAAAAGTGCAGGATGACCCGAAACATAGAATAAGGAAACTTCACTTAGCTTGGGGTGGAGTGGGCTGGAAAGGTTACCCAAGGAAGTTACCATTGAACTGTATTCTAAGAATGGGGAGGAATTAGTGGGGGAAGGCGGTGTGGGAAGGAGGGTGTAGAATGTTCCTGGTGGACTGAACAGCAGGTGTGCAGGCCAGACCACAAGCAGCAGGGCGCTACCTCTGGGGGTCACCCAGGCACAGTTGGCTTCATCAATGGGCAGGGAGTGGGCCTGGAAAGTAAGATGACAGATTGTTTTCTGTTTTAGCATTGACAGTCCGTGTGCCAGGAACCTCCTATGTCCCATGTAAACTTGGGTGGTTGGTCACCTTGAAAGTACCTTCTGCCTAAAACCAGCAAAGCTCCGAGTGATGAGGCTGTTTGGTTCAGCATTGTCCTGCTCTGTCTGGGTCTTTAGCAGGATGTAAATACTTTTGGGAAAAGGCGATTCAGTTATAGACACTATTTAGTATTAAAAAATAGCTTAAAGTCAAAATTCTGTACCAGTTAGTCTCTGGCCAGAGAAGTTACCCTGAGGCCTGGAAGGGAATGAGAACACAGAAGAAGATGTTTTTAACACCAGAGGAAAAATAAGGAAGCAATGAAGACATGTGTGACCCAAGTCATTCCTTTACTGTGACTAGGTTACTTTAGGTCTGTATTTGCTGTGCCTCCACTCTTATCTGTGAAATGGGAATAACAATAATTCTTGCTTAGACAAGAAATTATGAAAGTGATGGGCCCATGGCACTTTTGGTTAATGCCATATGGTAGCAAAAACATTTCTTTTCTGTTTATAACTCCAGGGAAAGTCTCTACCCAAATGTATTTTGAGGTCTTCTTGTGAGAAGCAAGTCACTGGTAAAACAGGGATAGTGAGAGTCTTCCTGCATTTTTCAGAAACCTGTAGACTAAGCTCACACTAAGCTTCAAGGAGTAGAGTACAAAGGGCTTGTTTCAGCACAGGACTCATAAAACACTGGCACACATACTATCCTTTTAGAAGTCTATAAAAATTCAAGGAAAAATGATAGCCGACATCTACATGGCACTTAATTTGTGACAAATTCTTTCCTAAGTGCTTGAATTGAACCGTGTCTTTTAAGCCTCACGATTATACAGTGAGGCAGGTACTCTTACATATGAGAGAGCGAAGGCTGACGTTGCATAACTTGTCCCAGGTCATGCTGCTCTTACATTAGGGAGCTGAATCCAGTCCCTTGGCTGCTGAAGCAGCGACAGCTGGGGGAAGGTATTGTGCCCACTCCCATTTGACAGTAGCCGTACCTGGGGCTCCCTTTATGTGGGGCCTACGGAACCCTTGGTGTTATAGAGCCCAGACCTCAGGAACCTCAGGAACCTCAGGGCTCCTTCTGTTAGCTGATTTCCCCACCAGCTTTACATACAGGGTGCCCTTTTTTTTGGTGTGTATGTGTGTGTGTTTTATATGTTTTTTAAAATTGATTTTTAAAGAGAGAGAAAAAGGGAGAGATAGAGAGATGGAAACATCGATAGGTTTGGTTCAGACAAACATAGCTCCCCTTCTTCCCCTTGGTTGATCAACGGACAAGGGAGCGGCCTCGGTAGACCTGTGTCAGGAAGGAGCTTAATTCTGGAATCGGGAGTCCATGAGCACATTGAGTGGCTCTGTTCCTGAGTTTGGCAAGACTTGACCCTGCAAATCTGGTGGGTCAGTTGCAGGCCATTTCCCACCCAATGAAATCCCTCTGGCAACTCACCGTGCAGCCTGGCTTCCCTCACCGCCCTTCCCAGCCTGGACGCTTGGTGCCTGCCCGGACTGAGAATCTTTAACATTGGCCCACCTAAATGGAACCAGGAAGATAAACCTTGAGAAAGAGATGCTCTGGGACGAAGTCTATAATATATAGGGTATAATTTGGAGGCTTTGCATGATCCAGACCATTTCCAGGGAACATGGAGAGTTGGGTGTGTAGCCATTTAGAAAGTCCTGACGGATAAATATTTGGGTTGCTTTCCATGGCTATCTTCTGGTTTCTGACCCTCATTAATAAAAGATATCAGAGTGAATGAATGCCTAAGCTCTGCCCAATTTATTCATTAGTGGATGGATATTACAGTGCTCTGTTTTCAGGTGGATACAGTCCCTGCCCCCATGGAGCTAACTTATTTGTCCAAAGTGAACTCTCAGAAGCATAATAAAAGGCTGCGCTGCAGGTTTACAGACTCCGGGTCCGAGGACTCACAGAGCGTTTGATTGCCGCCCAGAGACGCCTACTAAGAGTTCCCCAAGTGTTCTCTCGGAGGAAAAGCCTCGTCATTTGGGGCGGGGGGGGGGGGGGGTACGGGGGACGGGGTGCCTCATCAGACCCTTTGCCCTCTGATCCTTTCATTCGTTTTCTTTGCTTTCTTTCTGGAAAAGAAGCTGATGAAGTTTTCACATTCCTCCGCAGTGTTGCGGATCTGCAGGCTAGTGGGCAAGAAGGCGAGCGAGGCGGCGGAAACTTAAGTGGAAACAAATGTGAAGGTGACCCAGCTGGTGCCGCGAATGGAATCCAGGAGGCAGACAGGCGGCCCGTCCAGGGACTGGGGAATCCGTTGAGAAGTTGCATTAACTCTGACATTTGGGTAAAGAATTGTCAGGATTTGCTTCTCTAATTTTTTACCCGTCTGCCAGAATTGTGCCCTTTAATTTCTAAACACCTACTGTGTGCAACGCAGTGCAGAGTTCCAGGCTCTGCAGGGGACCTTGTTTCTACCCAGCAGAAGCGTTAGCATGGTTCAGGCTTTTATTTTCGCGTTTTAAAACAGTGTTGTGTGGTCCTGAGACAGAGCAAGTAGTTCCGCTAATAAATTCCTGAGACCCTTCTGCACAGAGGTGAGGGCTCCATCACTCACGTGTGACTCCAACTCTTGCCCTGTGTAGCCCTCTGCCACACTGTAGCAGAGCCTCTTCATATTAATACCAATTTATCATTATTCCATTTAAATGCTTGGTTGTGTGTTTTTTTTTTTTAGGTCCAAGAGAAAGAGACAGAAAACATCTGCATATGGAGTAATATTAGCTACAGTTGGTGTCTCAAGTGAGAATCCGCCTGACAGCCCCATTTATTATATCTGGGTAGGCTTTATTACGGAGACGCTCCCATTTGAACTTTCCCTCTGCAAGGTACAAACAAGTCTCTGATGTATTCATATCTTGCCTTAAAAACAACATTTTGAAATACAGGGGAGATTGCAGCTATAGATAACATTTCAGTTATAATAAGAGAGGCCAAATGTGAGCCAGATTTAAAACAATAACAGCAATAACGACACTTAGAAGTGTGGTTAGTTATTAAGCCATATGGTTCATGTTCCTGCAATGTTCTTTTGTTTCCTGCCTGTGTTGTCAGCATTCGTGTGATTGTTGTGATTTGTCGTGTCTAGTGCATCGCTGTTTCAATATATTAGGCTAATAATTCTGGTCCTTTTAAGAACACTGTCACGATCTGTTTCCCTTTGGGTAGGGCTGGCCACCGATGTTAAAACATGTCATTGTTAAAACAAGCTAAATTACTACCACCATCATCCCTCCCCACCTCCTCCCAAGACTCCTTTTTTTCCTATTAGAAATCAGCCATTTGAGGCTTAGGAAGGTGCCGTGGGGTAGTTATGGGAAATATTCAAAGAATGACCTACCCGTGAACTTTGTTTATTGTACGTTAATGAGGAATTAAATTGTTACAAATCAGAGGTGTTCATGTTGGTGTGTGTGTTACATGTGTGTGTCTTCAACAGCAGTGACATTTAGTAACTATTGTTTCTACATATTGATTTCGTTGATAAAAGTTTCAGTGGAGTTAGTTTTCCTCTGACTCCACTGAATCAGGCGCCTCTGGAGGTGTTCTCTGTCACCCTGAATCTTGGGGGACAAGCCCTCAACTCAGTCCTGACAGGCAAGCAAGGGCACCTGGGTGTTTTTTCCTTGCCTTCCCTCCTCACTTGTACTTTCTTAAATGGGTCCCAGGACTCAACACCAGGAACTAAAACAGGGCTCCTGTTCAGTGGACTGGTGGTCAGCATGCAGTTGTTTATGTAAATCTGAGAAAGGCCAATATGTTTATTTTTTCATGTCAATGTGTCTTAACATTTCCTGTGTGAGAAAAAATTTCAAGCAAACTATTTGCATGCTATAAACTTGATTTTTAAGACATTCTAGAGCAGTAGGCCCATATTTCTCTATCAGCTAAAATAAAAATGTGTAGAGGGCATTTATGAGCATTCCAATACCCACGGGCCTCTGTTAGTTACAAACTAAGACGATGCTTTTTCCTGCTCCTTTGTGGATTTCTGCCAGATTTCTCCAGGTTTTCAATCACCTTCCCTTAGCTACCTCTGAGTTACCCATTCTCCATCACCAGCTCCTTTATTCTTTTGTTTATGCTCTTTCTGTGTCTGGAGCACCTACTTTCCCCCAATCCACTACCATTCTTGACTTTTGTTATTTGAAGACCTTTCACTTTGTTAATTTTGATTCTTTTTTTCCCACTTGAAACACACCAACACACACTCTTTAGGCTACGCCTTAATCTAGAGAGATTCAATACATGTCAAAGATAACCATAAGGCACCTGTGATAAGTAATGTGGAAAGATCAAAACCACATGCTATGGGGTGTAAAGTGGAGAGACACCTGTTTAATGAGGAAAGGTTTCTTTTAGAAAATATAATACTTCATTCTTACTATAAATGTAGTACACATTTAGAGTGATGTCAGCAAGATGGCTGAGTAAGAAGCATTAGGTCTTCATTCTCCCACAGACACCCACTTATCAACAGTACATGGACCAGAATACTTTTTTGAGAATTCTAGAGACCAACACTCACATCCGCATAAAACCAAGGAGGATTCTAGTGACAGTGGTAGGAAAGGTCGCTGTATTTTGTAGTTACCTGTGCCCCTCTTCTTTCTGACCTAGTGTGGTGCAATGAGAAGGCAGCTTTGTTTGGAATCTGCAGGTAACAGATAGTGTTACCACAGCACATTAGAGCTGCAGTTCTGCAGACAGACACCAGGGGGAGGAAGGGATTATGGACCTCTGAGAAGAAGCAGGGATAAGCAGTTTAGGGAATTTGAGAGGACTAAAAGCACATGCACATACCCAGCAGATGTTACATCCTCAGAAAGGGTTTGCGGGATCCTAGAATCTCTAAATGGGCTTCTTGGTAAGGTGTTCTGCATAAAGCCTGTCTAAAAAGTTTCAAAGAGATAGTTGTTTCTTCAAATGCCCTAGTCTCAATAAAAAGCCCTAAGTCACACAAAGACAAGGAAACAGAGCCAAATCAAAGAATCAAAGCAGAACCCAAGAAATAATCCTAAAGAAGCACAAATCTCTGAGATACCTGACAAAGAATTTTAAATAACTGTCATAAAGATGCTCAATTAGCTAAATGATAACACAAATAGACAATTAAAAAATCAGGTAAATGAGGCATGAACAAAATGAGAATACCAACAAAGATAAAAACTATTAGAAAGAACCAAACAAATTCTAGAGCTGAAAAATATAATAACTGAACTAAAAGATTTATTAGAGGGGTTCAACAGCTGACCTAAACAGGCAGAAGAAAGAATCAGTGAATTTGAAGACAAGTAATTTGAAATCATTGAATCAGAGGAGCAAAAAGAAAAAAAGAATGAAGAAAAATGATGATAGCCTAAGGGACTTAGAGAATACTATCAGAATTTCAATATATGCATTATGGGAATTACAGAAGGCAAAGTCAAAAGAGAGCTTATTTGAAAAAATAATGGCCAAAACTTCCCAAATTGGAGGGGGAAATGCACATACAAATTCAAGAAGCTGAAGCCTCTAATGAGGATAAATCCAACAAGGCCCACATCAAGACACATTATTTATCCTTCTCATGCTGCAGTGGATAGACCCCTTCACCTCTCACATGGAGTCTGAAATACTCAAAGCTGATGGTGTACCTGAGGGTCATTGATGTATACTATTAACCAGAACAAAGGAATGTTAATAGTGCTAGAAACAAGGAAAGATATCCCCATACAAGTTGACAAGCCTTGAACAGACTGTGTGGGCTTTTTATTTCTTGGTAAAGAAGTGTTCCAGGTGCATGACCCATTCTTATATGGCTGATTGAGAGTTGAATAACTATGCATGAGACTGCCTTTCCCAACAACATATACAGATGTAAATTGTGACATCAATAACATAAAGTGGAGACAGGAGAATATAGGACTAAAGTTCTCATGTGATTGCAATTAAGTTGTGGTCAGTTTAAAATAGAATGTTATAACTTAAAGAAGTCTTTTGTAATTGAAATGGTATCCACAAAGAAAATATCTATAGAATATGCACAAAAGAAAATGAGAAGAGAATAAAAGTATGTCATCACCCACACAAATACACACAAAATCAATAAAACACAAAGGAAAGCAGTAAGGGAGAAAAGGAGGGACAAAAAGCTACAAGACATAAGAAAATGATTAACAAAATGGAAATAGTAAGTTTTTCCATATAAATAATACTTTACATGTAAATGAATTAAACGCCCAAATAAAAAGACATACATTGGCTGAATGGATTAATAAGAAAAGGATCCAACTATATGCCATCTATAAGAAATTTATTTTAGATTTAAGGACATACACAGGCTGAAAGTGAAATGATGGGGAAAATATTTCTTGCAAATGGTAATCAAAAGAAAGCTGAAGGGGTTATACTAGTATTAGAAAAAATAGACTTTAAGTCAAAAACTGTTACAAGACATAAAGAAGGACATTATATAATATTGAAAGGGTAAATTCACCAAGAAGATAAAACAATTATAAACATATATGCATCAGACATCAGAGCTTCTAAATATATGAAGTGAACACTGGCAGAATTGAAGGAAGAAACAGCTGTACAATAATGCTAGGAGACTTAAATATCCCACTATCACTAATGGATAGAACAACCAGACCAAAGATCAGTAAAGGAAAAGGGGAATTGAACAAACCTATGTACCAATTAGACATAACAGATATATATATATATATATATATATATATATATATATATATATATATATATATATATATATAGTACTAGAGGCCCGTTGCATGACATTCATAAACTGGGGGGTGAGGGTGGGATCCCTCAGCTCTGCCTGTGCCCTTTCACAGTCAGGGAGCTCTCAGGGGATGTCCAACTGACAGCTTAGGCCTGCTCCCCATGGAAATCAAACAAAGTATCTTTTCCAGAATATGAGATACAAACTTCCAGTTACAAAATAAATAAGTCACAGAGAAGTACTGTACAACATAAGAAAGAGTCAATGATTTTGTAATAACTTTGTATGATGACGGATGATTACTAGACTTATTATGGTGATCACATTGTAGGGTATATAAATGTCGGGTCAGTATGTTGTACACGGAAACTAATATAATGGTGTATGTCAGCTATAATAAATAAAAAAGTATATTTTCCAATCGTAATGAAGTAAAACTAGAAATCAATAGCAAAAAGAAACTGAAAAATTTACAAAAACTGTGGAAATTAAACAATAATTCTTAAACAACCAATGGTTTGAAAAAGAAATCTCATGGGAAATTAGAAATTATCTTGAGATGCATACGAAAATAAAACTTATCAACACTTATGGTATGAAGTAGAGCAGTGTTAAGAGGAAAATTTATAGCTGTAAATGCTTACATTAATAAAGAGGAAAGACCTCAAATGAACATGTAACATTATACCTCAAGGAACTAGAAAAAGAACAAACTAAACCTAAAATTAGCAGAAATAAGGAAATAATAAAGATTAGAGCAGTGATTAATAAAATAGAAAATATAAATACAATAGAAAAAATAAACTAATCCAGGAGTTGCTTTTTATTTTTTATTTTTTTAATATATTTTTTATTGATTAAGATATTACATATGTGTCCTTGTCCCCACGTTACCCTCTACCCCCCACCCCCCCGTTGTCCATGTCCATTGATTAGGCCTATATGCTTGCATATAAGTCCTTTGGTTGATCTTTCCCCCTTACCCCCACCCTCCCCTACCTTCCCTCCAAGTCCCGACAGTCCAATCAATGCCTCTCCGTCTCTGGATCAGTCCTTGTTCATCAGCTTATGTTGTTCATTATATTCCACAAATGAGTGAGATCA